TTGTTATTGCCAGGTTTTTTGATTGTGCAAGGCAAAATCTTTGCCTAATTGTTTTTCATATTTAGGAAAATATATTTTAAGTCAGAACTTTATGTAAAATCACTTGATTTGGCACCTAATTCAAATTTTTTAAAATGTGCATATCAAACAAAACCCTTCTGTGGACTGGTTTTGACCCCGGAGCCAACTAAAGATATAGCTAGTGAAACAAATGCATAATTTCTTTGACGTCTTAACCATCAAAGCAAAGAACTTAACTAATGCTAGGCATAGGGAGCCTTCCCAGACTGCCTCATCTGTGTTATATCTTTTATCATAAAGTCTCATATTCCATGTATTTCTTCTTCATAGCAGTTTTTACATTTGCAGTATAATTGCATGGTTATTTGATTTAATATCTGTCTCTACCATGGAACATTCAAAAGCTCCCCATGGGTAGGGGCTGCATCTATTTTTGCTATTCAGTAATTAATAAATGAATAATGTATACAGGAGAGATTAATTTTAAAATGTATTCTATATTTAAAGAGAAGAAAAAAGCAACCAGAGTATAGCATCTCACTTGGAATTCTGTGTTGAAAGATTCAGTCCAACAGCAAGTTCATTTGTTAGCACAGTGTGAGAAAAGATGGTTTTTCTCCCTACAAAGTAGACATTTCAGTGTTATCTACACTGATATATCTTAAAGCATATTTCAGAGAATACTGGCGTTTGTAGCAGAACATGTTGATGTCAGTATTTATTTGTATTATTAGTAATTCCAAAGTTATTATAATTTGACATTGTAGGCTATAGCTAATCCTTTGGATTTACTGCTCTTCCTGGGAAAAATGGAAAGACTGCTTCTCTTGTATAGTTATTAAAAATAATTTTTTAAACTTTTGGTATTTCTAAATTTAATTATTTTAAGCCCTGGAGGAATGTGATGCTGAAGGAGAGCTGGCAAGGATCACCAGAACCAAAGCTTTCTACTGAAAAAATAAAAAAAGAATAAAAAAATTAATAATTTACCAACTTAAGCTGAAAGATTTACTGTGGTAGTGAAATAAAATAAAGGGTGTATTGCTGAAGAGATAGGCCATCTTTTTTATGCCTTGAATGGTGAAGATTTGTGATGCTGGAAAATTGAGGAACAGCAAGGGGGAAAGGGAGAGAAAAACTGTAACCTGTTTTAGTTTTTTGAAAAAGTTTTTAATAGTGCTAAACTTTATCTTTTATGTTTTTAAAAGTTGTAGACATGAAAGTCTTAAAAGATTCATAAAATTGAATCCATGTGGTTCATTTGTAGAATATTCTCAAAATGACAAAATTATAGAGATAAAGAATAGGTTAGTAGTGGTTGCCAGGGGTTAGAAATAGAGCAGAGGGCTCTATCAGTTTGTACATCTTGAAGCTCTGTATTTGTGAGCATAAACACTTAGGATTATTTTTTCTTGAGCCTTCTATCATATGAAATGACTGTGTTTATCCCTGGTAATAATCTTCGTTATTAACAAAGCCATTTATTTCATCTTTCTTTTAATTAGCGTTAACATGGTAAACACTCCATCTCGTCTCCCTTTCTTTTACTTTTAATCTACTTGTGTCTTATTTAAAGTGTGTTTCTTACAGGCAGAGTATAGTTTTAGCTTATTTTTTTATAGTTTTAGCTTATATTTTATCCTTTTATGCCTGTTAATTGGGTGTACAGATAACTTACATCGAACATGCTGTTGACATGGTTAGGTTTGAGTATATCGTCTTATTGGTTGTTTTCTATTTGTTTCATCAGTTCTTTGTACTTCTGTTACCCCCTTTCTGCCTTCTTTTGGATTACATATTTTTTTATGATTCTATTTCATCTCTTTTGTTGTCTTATTATGACAGCATTTTTTGTTTTGTAATTTTAGTAGCTGCTGGAGGGTATATTGTACACATATTTAAATGATCACATCTACCTACGAGTGATATTACACCACTTTAGATATTGCATAAGAAACTTATAATGGTATGCCTTCATTTCTCCCCTCCTGACTTTTATGCTGTTATTGTCATACATTTTATTTATACAGATGTTATAAACCCTGTACTAAATTATTATTTTTGTTGCATCAATGAGTTTCTAAAGAGATTTAAGTAATAAGAAAATTCTTTTTTATTTACCCCTGCAGCCACTATTACCAGTGTTCCTCATTCCTTTGTTTAGCTTCATGTTTTCATCTGGTGTCACATTCTTTTTGCCAAAAGGACTTCCCTTTGCACTCTTTGTAGTGTGGGTCTATTGATGATTATTTCTTTTAGCTCTTGTATGTCTGAAGAAGTCTATCACCTTCATTTTTCAAGGGTATTTTCTCTGGGTTCATCATGTTTCTCCATTGCCTCTGGCTTGTATTGTTTCCAACGAGAGCTTTACTGTCACTGTTAGTTTTGTGTTTCAGTACGTAATGTGTCTTTTTTTCCTCTCTGCTTTTAAGATTTTTCTCTTTACTACTGGTTTTATACTATTGATTCTGATGTATAGTTTTATTCCTGTTTCTTTGAGTTTATTGAATCTCTTGAATGTGTGGGTTTATAAATTTCACCAAATTTGAAAATATTCAGCTATACTTTCTTCAAATATTTTTTCTGTCCCTGTCTCTCCCTTTCAGGAACTCTAATTACATCTCTATTATTAGGACGCTTGAGGTTGTTCCACAGTTCACTGATACTTTTTAATTTGTGTGTGTGCGTGTGTGTGTTTTCATTTTAGATAGTTTCTATTGCTCCGTATTAAAGTTTATTAATATTTTTTTCTTTCATTAATCCTGTTTCAACTTGGGTCATTTAAAAAAATGTTCTCTGTGTCTATTTAACTTTTTGTATATGAGGAATACTGTTTTTAATGCTCTTGTCTGTCCATTCTGATATCTGTATCTAATATCAGTACTGCTCAATAATTGATTTCTTTATCTTCCTAATTATAGGCCATCCTTTTCTGCTTCTTTGAATGTCTGGTAATATTTGATTAGATGCCAAACATTGTGAATTTTACCTTTTGTCTGGTTAATATTTTTGTATTCCTATAAATAATCTTGGTTTCAGTCTGGGACATGGTGAAGGTACTTGGAAACAGTTTGATCCTTTTGGGTCTTGCCTTTAAAACTAGTTCAGTGAAGATAGAACAGCTTTTAGTCTGTTCCATATTACTGAGGCAAGACCTTTTTGAAGACTCTACCCAGTGCTCTCTGATTGTGAGGTTTTCTAGTCTGTCAGGGGATAGGCCCAAATCAAGGCCCTGAATGAATGTGAAGTACTGTTCCCTGTCATCTGTTCAAGTGGTTTTTCTCCCAGCCCTCAGATAGTTACATCACATGCATGCATTGATCAGTACTCTACTGAATACTCAAGCAGTGCCCTTTGCAGATCTCTGAGGCTTCCTTTCTTTGTAACTCTCTTCTTTCCTATATGCTGGCCTATGAACTCTAGCTCTCAGTTTCCTCTCTTCAACTCAGGGAATCTGCCAGGTTTCAGCTGGGTTCTCTTGTTCCGCGCCCCCCATTATGCACCATATCCTGGAAACTTTTAAGGCAGTAGCTGGGACAATCACAGGGCTCACATCATTTGTTTCTCATCTCTCAGAGATCACTACCCTGCATGGCTCAACATCCAGCGTCTTAAAATAGTTGTTTGGTATATTTTGCCTTTTATTTATTTATTTTTGGTTGCTTCGAGTGGGAAGGTAAATTGGGTTCCTGTTATTCTATTTGATTACAAGTGGAAATCTCAAAATTAGTTTTTTTCATGTATTTAATGTCACTATTATTTTCAAAAAAAAATTATTTTAACCATTTATGAGTAAGCCAGTTTCTAAACATGCTTGCTGTGTATAAGTTTGTGGATATCTGAAGTGGGGTGAAGGGAGTCGGGGGCTTAGGAAATACAAGGGACTTAAAGTTCCTTTCCTTCCATGAAGCTTTCTCATTTGCTCTTCAGTAGGTTGTAGCTCTGCTCCTTTATTGTTTAGAGCCCCCTGGTTCCTTTCGGAGAACAATTCTTTAGAGTTCTACCAATGCGCCACTCAAAATGTATGGAGGATGTAAAAAAAATGTTCATAGTCTTTACGTTTTAATCTATGTGATTAAACCTTTGACAGTGAAATATTGTAGAGGAAACATAATGAGAGAACTTACCTCACAAGATATTAAATGTATTTTAAAGCTATGGTAATTATTGAAATACTAATACTAATATAGATACAGATTAATGGATCAAAACAGAATGTTCATTGACAGACCTATAAATGTACTTTAAAGATTTAGCATAAGAATTATTTTAATAATGGTGTAAAAATAACTCGACAACTCATTGGAAAAAAATTAAAGTTTGATCTTCTCCCCATATCTTATACTAAGATATAGTCCAGATAGGTTAAAGATATCATCTAAAAATATTAGAAGAAAATGTTCATATTCTTACTGTGTAAAGACTCTTCATAAAGTAGTGAAAGAAAGATGGACAGAGGACATGATTAGAGATTCACAATTAGGGACAAAAAATATAAATATCTAGGAAATATTTTTGAAATGTTCTATTTCTTAATAGTAATAATAAAAATAATACTAGTAATAAGAACTATCATATGTTTCTATTTTTCTGAATATATTAAGAACTTTCAGCAGATTAGCTAATTTAATTCTTTTGAAAGGCAAGTATAAAGTATTTTATAGATGTGAAAACTGAGACCAGTTATGAAGACCTTTGCCCAAGATGACAAAGCTACTAGGTGGTTGAGCCAAGGTTATAACTTAAAGTTCTGTTCCTCATCACTTCTCAAAGAAACAAATTAAAACAACCTAAACCCCCTACTGCACCTTACAGAGAAATTGGTAATTTGCTCAAGATCACACTGCTCCTAAGCAATAGGATTGAGTTAAAATTTTTAGGAAGGAAAAATCATATAATTAGAAGAAAGAAAATCAGGATAAAGTAAATTAGAAGAGAAACAGCAAACATCTTTTTACAAACTCACCATTTCTTTTCAGAATATTTAAAAGATGCTTCAAAGAAGATGAAAAGTGGGCTTATGTTTGTAAAATTGGTTAACCCATGTTTAGGTAAGCTCTTCTTCCTACCCGTCCCCTCTCCTCTGATAATAGTAACCTGAACGTTTTTTTAAACATTGTGGCTGAAAAGTGTGTTTATGCTTACTTGCCGTTTGTTCTAACCAGATAGCTTAAAGATAAAATGGCATGACAGGGTGACAAAAGCAAGCTAATGATATTACTAGTTTCTCACTCCACCCAAACATTTTTTATTTATTCTTATAATTTTCGTCCATGGAACTGTTCATTCATCAGAAATGATGGCAAAACAAAAAGTAGCTAGTTTGATTTCTCTCTAAGAACAACTTAATTTTATTTGGCTTTCTTAAGCCAACTTTTTTTAGAGTAATTAGCCTCCATTTATATTCATTTTATGTTGTAAAATAAACAACTGGGGGAAGGGAGGCTATTACTTGACATGCCAAGGGAGGCTATTACTTGACATGCCAAGATTATGAATAGTTTCGTTTTTAGCTGTACTTTTCTTATTTTGTTCTGACCAGAAAGTAGTATTTTTTTTTCCTGTCATGGGTGATTTTTTTTTTTTTGTATTAAAAGTATTGTATATTCAAGAGGTACATATTTTATCAGAAATAATCTTATTTTAACTTCATATTCAGTGTATTTTCTGTTTTGCTTTCTCATTTTTAGGCAAAATATTAAAATATAGCATAAGGATGTAATAATATTGACGATATTATTTATCTCTATCAATTTGTTTTTCTATTAAGAACATAAGATTTATGTGTTACGGTTATTGTTAATTTTATAAGGTTTTGAATAGATACCTGATACTTAGTAAATTAGAACATTCTTCTGCAGACTATACTACTGAGGGAGAAGCCAGTGGGTAGTACCTTCTTATTGTGGTTTGAAAAACATATAATAAAAGCAATAAGAGAGGCTTCCTCCAGTTTCCTTATCAAAATGAAATTAAAAGATATTGGTCTGCTATGTTATTTGGAACTCTTAATTATGCATATGATTAAGTTGAGGTGAGAATTATTTTTTCAAGAGAAGTTTTAGTAGCAGTAAAGTTTCTAAAGCATTTAACAAGGTACAAAAAAATGGAAGGCTCCTTCTAAAATTTCTTTTTTATCTAAATGTACATAGATGACAGAGGAACAAATGTTTGCATTTGCTACATTGACTACGGATAAAATAAAGACTAATATTTGATGAGCACTTACTGTGTGCCAGGTACTCAAAATTTTAAGAACTGTGCATGTATTCTCTTTTTAACCCTTATAAAAACCTTGTGAAGTAGGTTCAGTATTGCTCCCATTTTACGGGTGTGGAAACGGAGGCACAGAAAAGTTTATGTAAGTTTCCCAAGGGTGCACACCCAGCATGTGGCAGCTAGCCTTCTGGGTCTGCAGGCTTAGTCCCTGTCTTGGTGCCTTTGTGTGGGGAGCCACATGCCAGTTCAGTTCATCTAGTTGAGCCGTTAGGTTTGTGTAGTTTAGGGATGGGTTATCTCTCTTGATCTGCTGGAGGATTCAGTGAGGCTTTGCAGCAGTTAAGATAAATGATCTGCATTTTATTATTTATTAGTTTAAGTTCAGTGAAGATTGTAGAGCTGGAAAACAAACATCTGTATATAATAGCTGTAAGCTTTCCTTGGAGTCAGTTTGTACAGAATATATATCTAGGGTATGTTTATGTTCATATTAGGAACATTCCTCAGAACTATTGATTTTTTTGTGTGGGTGTGAAAACTTACAAATAAGAAACAGATTTGTCTTAACAGGCGAAGGAGCCCTTTACTTGTTCAATATGTGTCTACAGCAGCTGTTTGAAATAAAAGTGTTCAAGGAAAAACACCGTTCTTGGTTTATAAATCAATCAGTTCAATCAGGTAAGTGACTGGTGTATATATTTCCATTAACTAAACACATACTCTATTCCATCCTTCCCGGACATATGGGTCTATCCTCCTGGTTTGGAGTCTGGTCCACAGTTTTTTCTTCCTTGGCATCAGAGCAGGGTTTAATCAAGGAGAAAAGTAAGATAATTTGAGTAAGTTTATATCAATACCCATAAGGCTTAAATAGTAGAAAATTTTTGCCTAACGGCTGATTTCTCTCCTGAAACCCTTCGTTGGCAGGCAGACGACCTTTGTACCATGGAGCGCACATCATCTTGACTGTATACTCTGCTCTGCTCTTAGCCACGTTTGAGGATTTTCAAGTTTTTAACATCTTATTTCCTTGAAAATGGATACTGATATAGCTTCTAAAATAGAATAGAAAAAGAAATTTTTTATTCTTTTAAATATAAATTATACTGCTACCCACCCCCCAAACACTCCCCCGCCAAACACCAAAGGTCTATTTCTTTTAATGATTCTTTAATTTGGAGTAGCGTTAGCTCGGGAGGAAAAAGGACCACGTGTTCCGAGGTGAGGTGTAGGGAGGGGTCACAGGACAGTTGAGGCACTCTGCATTCCCTCTGCCTGTTGTTTTTGATTTCAGAGAGTGCTTTCCATTTCCTTCTTAGCCCTCTGCTTTCTGTTGACAGTGTGTGTCACTACTTAGTGCTAAGTACAAAAGCCACTTTGCCTTTCTTCTGAGACTTTCCAGAAGAAGGGTTTCATGCTGCTGATAAATTTCATATACCTATGTGCATGAGAAGAATCAAAGTGGTTTTCAGTTACCTAAATGCAGTGGTAGTCTGTGTATAGCCTGGTATTTGGAACATATATATTTTCTATTATTGCTGCTACGCTTGCTCATTTGGCGTATAGATATGAGTGTTCCAACTTCCAATGTAATATGTATACTTGCAGTTGGGGTCTAGATAGATAGACACAGTAATATAGATGAAACTGGAAAATATTGATCACCTCTTCTGGACTGAGTTGGTACCTCCCTGTCTTTTTTTTTCAGTAGACCTCATTTTTTAGAGTAGTTTTAGGTTCACAGCAAAGGTACCTGCTTTTTTTTTTAATTATTATTATTGTCTTCTTTTTAAACTTAACCTTGAAGAAAAAGCTGTTTTTAAGAATGGCCAACAGGATATTGTTTTCAGGCCAGAAACCTATTCTTAATTTCTGAATTAAGAATTATTCCATTTCTGTGGAAGAGGAAGTCCGAGATGCTTCAAGGGGAGTGTGATAAAGAAGTGTAGGAAATAGATAGGCTAGTTTGTTTGACCTGCCTTTTTCTTTTCAGCCTGGAGGATACCATTAATCTTACTGCAGAGTTTTCAACGTCTTATGCTCACTCTTGTTAGACTCCTGCCTTCTTGCTCGTTTCTTTGAGGTGGGGGATGGGGTGGAGTCTGGGGTGGGTAACAACCTCTGAACTTGGAGTCATTGGCAGTTTAGAACTGTGAGTCCACGGTCCGTAGAAGGAGCTGTATACAGAGAGAATGATATTTATTGCTTTCCCATGGCTTTGTCCTCAAAAGCAAAGGAAATTACATTTTACTACAGTTTTACAAATAGACATATAGGTTTCTTCTGTTTGTGTGGTTCACATTCTGTCTATATTTCTCCCAACTCTTGCCTTTGGGGGGCAGTAGGAAGAGCCTCTGTTAAAAATGATTTCTAAAGAGAAATGGGAAGTTAAAGATTGATTTCAGTGTCTTGGCTCTCCTTTACACACAGGAATTTGAAGCTCTTTGGAGTAAAATCTTATGGACTATATCTTGCCTTTTGAGAGAATCACATAGAATCTTGGGCCCGTATAAGAACTTCTGAATTTAGAATTTCACAAATATTTTTCAATAAGTGATTTCCACAGTGGGATTAAAATGAAATGACTAAATTGAATTTCCAGACATTAATTCCCTTTGTTCTCTCTTTAACCTGTAGGAGGTCTTCTCCACATTGCCACACCCATGGACCCTCTATTTCTGCTCCTCCACTACCTTATTAAGGCTGATAAAGAGGTGAGTTTCCCAATTTGGAATAAAAACAGTAAGGAAACAGAAGATTGGGTGTTTTTTTTGCTTTGTTTCCTCTCTCTCCTTTTAATGAGCCAAATGTAGATTTCCCACAATTCAGATTTAGTGTGGCTGGTATAGAACACGTATCATCACATATGCTGATATGGATTAGCAAGCCCTGAGAACCTCCACCTTAATCTTGGGGTAGTTTACCCATGACTTCTGAGAACCGCCTAATCCTCTATGCTGTATGCTTTACTTGTTTGACACAGCCTAGCAATGAAAATATTGTCACTACGTACTCATTGGTTTTGAAATACAATACAGATGTTAAAAAATCGACCTCAGATCCTAAAAGAAAAAAGAAGATAATGTCTTCCTTCATTTTCTTATTTGTGAGAGACCATGAAATAGGTAAATAGGGGTGTCTAGTAAAAAGCTCATTATTGGGAAAGCTCTAGTTGAGTCTTAAAGAATTCCAGATGGACAAAATTTTCCTTTGTAATATAAAGACAGAGTTTATTAATAGTAATAGTTTCAGCTGGAGGTTCTGAAACATTTTGGTCTCAAATACCTTTACACTCCTGAAAATTACTAAGGATCCCAAACAACTTTTTATTCTTGTGTGTTTTATCTGTCAGTATTTACTACATTATAAATTAAAACTGAGAAATTTAGAAATAATTTTATTAATTTATTTTAAAATAAAAATAATAAGCCCAGTACATGTTAACATAAAAAACACGTTTTCAGTGAAACATACAACAAAACTCAGTGGAGAGTGTGGTATTGTTTTTGCAAGTCTCTTTGATATCTGGCTTAAAAGAAGACAAGTGGAGTCTCATGTCTGCTTCACATTCGGTCTGTTTCCATCTATTGTTTTGTTGAAAGTTTATGAAGACTATGCAGTCTTACACAGATAGGTATTTTAAAAAGGGAGGAATAGTATAATAGCCTTTTCAAACAATTATGGATATTTTTCTTTGACACTGCAAAAATCAACAAAGCATCATTTCTTCAAAGTCACTTGCAGTGTGGAATCTGAAACCCTGTCAATGAACTTTCCATGCCCTATTACATTAAAATATATTGTCTATCTTGTACTTAGAATGCATCTTTTACCCATGTAAGACTTTGTAATATCATGCATTGGTCATTTGAAAAATATTATTTCACTGAATCAGAGCACTCTTTAAGTATTGGGAAGCTGTCATAATGGCAGATACAAACTTTCTACAATACTAATTTTTGCTTGAAAGTTAAAATTTTATCACTGCCTACACATACTGTTCATCTTTCCCTTAAAGTGACAGATTCATTACATTTATGTTCTCTTAAGTACCCAAGTCTGAATAGCCATAGTTCATAGTGGTTTTTTTTTTTTTTTTTTTTTCAGGTAAAATGGTATCTGTGATAAAAGCAGCTAGTTCAGTTCTCAACTCAATAGTTACACAGTGTTTTTCCTTGAGATAATCCTGCACCTTGATATGTGGCAGGAGCTCTGTAGTGACACTTTACTTTCATCACAGAGTATTTTAAAAGACTTGCACTCAAGAGTTGAGCTTTAAATAAAAGGACTTGCTCTTACTCCTGAGCATGCATATCCTTATGTGAAACTGGCCAGTTTTTTTAACTGCTCATGCATGGTAGTAAGGGGTTCAGTAGCTACCAGGACAGTTGTCACCACCCTGAGCCATGGATGCCAAGGAGCCAGCGGTTTTACCCACCTTTACATTGGAATCATCAGTGTAGATGTCGACGCAGTGGAAGCACAAGTAGCATCTTAGCTCTATAATGAAAGTAGTTGTAAGCTTGTGGGCCCCTGAAAGGATATTGGGGAGCTACCAACCACAGTTTGAAAACCTTTGAATTAACAACTTTAAGGAATAAGTGTTACTTAAACTGCTTAGAAGAATCTAGTTTTTTGTACTCTCATTTTTGCATTCAGTTTAAATGCTTATGGGTTCATCTTATTTAGTCCTTACACCAAATTTCTAAAACTTCTGTTTTGTGGGAATATCAGTTGAGTTTGATATAAATACTGCAAGCGATAAAACTGACTTAAAGGTTTATGTCATGCTTTCTCCTGATACAGCTTAGCTTCTTTCATTTCCCTCCTTTCCTACATCCTCTGTCCTTTTGTGTGGATGAATGAAGTTTTATTCCTTAGTTTAATCATGTTTTTATTATTTGGATGCTACCGTGGTAGCCGGTATAATTAGGGCATACCAGCAGTGAGACTAGTAAGCCACGGGCCTCTAAATGACCACAAATGGTTCTAGTCACCACCAGGAAGGCCTGGCAGTATTTTGGGAGGAGCTTGAAAACTTCAGTTCCCATTTGTTTTCTAGGATGCATTAACAGAGAAAAGCCACCAGCCAGACTTAGTACCTATATTGATGAACATTTAAACCTCCAAACCCTCACCCTGACCTTCTGGGAATCTTTGGAGATGTTATGGTTCATTCAGGTTGACAGATGCAGAATGAAGCAGAAATCCTGCCCAAGGTGATGGCTGGCTTTCTTTTTAAACCATCTTCTTTTCTCAGATACTAGAAATGCCCTTTAAAGAAACCCATGAAATGTTTAGGTATTTCCTTCCCTACATTTTAGATGTGATCTCTTCTTATTTAGTTAAAAAAATATATCGGTGCACGCTTTTAAAATGTAGACATATCCTTTTTTAATTGTAAGATTTATTTTAACATTAGAAGAAATGTCCTTATTTTAGCAATCCCAATTGTTATTAAATTTATATTCAAAGCAAGTTGTTTATTACATTTCCTTTTTTATGTGTGTGTATATATATATATATATGTGATAAAGGAAACGAAGGAAACATTAATTCTGAAATTATTATATCATGTCAATGTATTAGTCCATTATATATAAGGAGAATATTGTTTTAAAGTAGTTAAATGTTTAAAATATTGGTTGGTCATGGAGGAATATAGATTAAGGTAGAAATCTAAAGACAATGAGACAGTAAGACTTGAGAAATCTGTAAATTATTTTTATTATCTGGAGGAAAAAGAGAACATTTAAATTGAGGCTCTTACCACTTATTAACCTAACAGAAAGTATAAGCTATCACACGTGCTACTGAATGAATGAGAAGATTTCCCCCTTAAAACTAAAGAAAGCTGCATTTGCAGAAAGAAAACTGATCACACAGACACAGGTTTTCTGTCTTCGAATGGAGCTGTAACTAACATAGAAAAGCAGAGTGAGCTAGAAGTGGGATATGGGCAAAACCATACACCTTTTACAAAGTCTAGTATCCCCAAGTCAGGTGACTGATAATTTAGACAGATTTATCTCCATGCCACTAGTAAAGAAAACCTAAACCTAATCAAGAAGAATATTCCGCATTTCTGTGATTCTATACTTCTGGCCCATTGGCCACGAGGCCCATATACACTTATCTAGCTGAGCCTCATTTAATGTGTCTGTATCTTTATTGCACTTATCCCTCTAGCTATCTTTTCTTTTATTATGGTCTAAATTTGGAAGCGTTGTCAGATAGCTCTGATAGGAATAGATTTTACTTTGGTATTTTTCTTTCTGTTGTGGTGTTTAAAGCCTTGGAGTGAGGAGGGGAGGGGAGATGCATGCTCTGTGTTTGACCTGGGCTTATTCCTGGTGATGGTCAAGACTCCTGCCCTGTAACCTTCTGCTGGTTCTTCTTCAAACTGAGTATGTTGGACTAGCCCTAGCAGTCTCTACCATCTTTGCAACTTTCCATAGTTTCCAATGCTTTTCCAGAATTTTGCTGCCCTATTTTATCTAGTGACTATACCCCTGAGGTTGGAACCCTAGTGCTTTTAAGAGCTTCCTAAAGGGAGCAAAGAGTCAGTTATGAAGCCTGTCCCAGTGTAGAGATTTCTTAGGTGGAACAAGTGGCTTTGAACTTAGTTTAAAAATGCAGCTATGAGGTAACATATTTTTCCCTTTTTTTTTTTTTTTGATGTGTGTTTGTTGACTGGTGTGCTTGCATTCTGACTGACTGAAGTTTTTTTTCAGGGAAAGTTTCAGCCTCTCGATCAAGTTGTGGTGGATGACATGTTTCCGAATTGCATCTTGTTGCTGAAACTTCCTGAACTTGAGAAGTTACTTCAACACGTGACAGAGCAAAAAGGTATAGTATCCAGCCTTTGAAATCAGGCTGATGGCTGTGTGAAAGGCTGGGCATCTGTCTGAGAATGAAGCTGTGCTGCTTAAAGGCCACTGGAAGTAATGCTTATTATACCATGTGGGCCATAAAGGAAACTGTCGTTCAGGTTTGCTTTCATTTGTCAGTATTCGTCCTCTACTGCTTTGGGTTGTTCTGTCTTTGACATTCCAGCCAGTGAAATGTGATGGCCTGTCTCCTGCAGGGCCAGCGTTCATGGGGCTTGGGCTTTAGTCTCAGTTGTTCTTTGAATTAGTCCATGACTTTAACTGCTTTCTGCCTCAGATTTCTCATTTGTAAAATTACATAAAACCTATACCTTTGTCGATCTAAGAAGCATTTATTGAGCATCTATTAAGCATATGTTGAACACTGGTGCTAGGCTCTGGGAATACTTTTAAATAATACATCATTCTTTCTGCCACTTAGCTTCCAGTCTGATGAGAGCAAATGACAAATAGGGCAATAACGGTAAGGACTAATGGAAGTGAACTCTGGGTTTTCTTTTGATGCTCATGACAAGTTTATAACCTGGCCTGGGTTGGATGGGAGTATGGATCGGTGGGTATTGTGTCGCTCTCCTAGAGGAAGTGACCTCTAAGTGGAGTCCTGAAGGATACACCAGAGTAGCATCATAATAGAGTCATGGTTGTATGGAAAAGTTTGTCACGTGCAGGAAGTTCCAAGGAGTTGAGTTTGGCCAGAGTATAGGGTGCCAGGAACGGATTTAATAAGGAAGTAATGGGACGGGAATGCTGGGCAAGGGTTTGGATGGTGAGGGATGTTATATTTGTCTGGGCTTTACCTAATGGTACCTGAGCATCAGCAAAGTTTTAAGCAGGAAACTACCATAGTGTGGAGTGTATCAGAGAAGTTAAGGCCAGGTTCATGGAGTCTACTGAAGTGATCTAGGCAGAAGACAATGGTAGCCTGATTAGTTTTAGACATTATTCGTTTGAATTTTGAGAAGAGGAAGTGAGGCAGTGTGTGTGTGAACATGTTTTGGCAGGTTAGAAACACTATACAAACTTATCATCAGTGTCTCTATCATCCAGGTAGTTTCAGGGTTAATATGGAAACAGTGAGGGAAGCAAAACAACTGTTGATAAGTTGTGGTTGTTCAGGGTCATAGGCAGTTTGGCCAACTATAGCAGTTCTTCTGAAACCAAGAAAGGAGGTTCTAAGAAATGTAAGCTTACAGTGGGAAAGGGGAGAACCTCATTGGTTGCATTTTACATTTGAGTGGGCTACTAAATTCACACTTGGCCAGACTTAGAGCTCCATTTTGGATCTGAGGGGTGTATGATGCCCAAGTTTTATCAAAGCAGTCCATTAAAGACATTCCCTGATGCTGAGCTTGGCAGGAGACAGCAGTCTTTTTCTGGGTAACAAATAAGTAGCTCGTAACCATTTCTGAAAGCTAAAATAATGAGGAATATGTCATTTAAATTTTGTCAAGTTAACACAAGTCAAAAATGCAGTTAACTCTCATTATCCAAAATTCTTACATTAGCTGTATGAGGACAGTTATCTTAAACCCAAGTCCAGAAACCCAGAATTAGAAAGAGTATTAATGCGTTGACATTTGCTAGCTTATAGCCTCTGTTTCAGAGCACTTCTTCCTGTCTCATTCCTTCCTGCTTGCACACCAAATCCCTGGCCTCTTATGAAGCATTATCTGAACTCCTGTCTTAATCTCTTTTACTTCTCAGTATTGCCTAGCTTTTGAAAGTTCTGCAGTATTAGAAGTGCTTATTGTTTGACTAGCTCTAAATAACCAACATACTGTGCATTTCCCTTTGGTGGAAAAGTTGTCTATCTCAGTGTGCTATCCTTGTATACAGAACTCACATAAATGTAAAAAATAGTTTACATTCTTGTTCTGAGTTAAGAGGTAAAGCTCAGGTAATGTGAAATCGCTTACGAGTATTTTGATGAGGCCTTTTTGAGGATGAAACATGAAGATCTTATTATTTCTTTTTCTTTCTTGTTTTGATTTTGTTTTAATGTTCCATTATTTTAAGATTTACAGACTAAAGTTCATTAGGGTAAGAATTTGATTATGAAGAAAACTGTCAAGACTTCTAGAGAATTGTGTACATCTTTTAATGTGTGATATTTAACCTGAATTACTTTGTGCTTTGTCTTACTATCATTAAAAAAGAAGGAAAGAAAAATATGAGGCTAGAGTTTTTAAAAATTTGGTTTAGATAAAAGTTGTTTGTATATCTGTTCTGAAAATGGAAGTATATGGGCAGATTAAGCATTTTCTTTTTAATTAAAAAGTTTAAAGGTACAGAAAAAAGCTCAGGAAAAAACTACAAATATTATTTGTACCCAACTCCAATAATCAACAGACATTAATATTTTGTTACATTTACTTCATAATTCTTGAGGGAAAGAATTTCTTTCAGAACAATCTGGTAATCTGATCTCAGGATCATATGGCCTTCAAGAAAAGTTGAAAATGTATTTGCTATATAGTTTTAAACAAATTATTCAAGGTTTTCAGCATTCTTTATCTGTAAGATGAAGAGTTTGATGGGCTGAAAGTATCCCCTGTATTCTTTCATATGTTATATTATAATTAGTACTGTGCAAAGTTGTTTAAATCATAAAATAAAATTTTTATTCTGTTAGCTTTAAATTGTTGAGATTTCTGAATGACCAATATTTGAACATTATTTAAGTGTTGCAGTTAATAGTATCTAGAATCTACCACAAAGAGATGCTTCAGGAATTAAATGAAATAATACAAGTAAATCAGTGTCCAGAGAGTGCTTGCTGGCTATATATTAAGTTCTCAATAAATGTTAGTACTATTGAGGCTTCTAAATTTGAAATTTTTTAATTGTTTGCTGATGTTCAAGTACTAGATACATGGTAAGTAACTAATACACATTTGTTTGATGGCTCATTTATTACTGCATATTCAAGTGGTCTAAATAGGAAAACAGGGATAATCAGATAATAAAAATATCTTCTATGTATTGAAAAATTATTCTATACCAACTCTATGCTTATCGTTTTACATATGCTATTGAATCCTTGCAGCAGTTCCCTTTTATTATTGTTACAACATGTATTTTTACAAATGAAGAAACTGAGGCTCAGAGTTTAAGCTGACGAATATCATAGAACTCGAAATGGTAGAATCAAGACGTGAGCCCATGTATCTAACAGCAACTCTCCCTCCCTCTTTCGCTGCGCAACACTTCCAACTGCTCTGTGAGAGGTTTTAGGGGGTCTCATGTAAAAATAGAAACTTAAAAAAGAAAAATCTTGTATATCACCTTTTAATAATTTCCCTTTGTGAGGCAAAAAGAGACAGAAAGGAGACAGAAAGAACTTCAATAGCTGAAGGAAAAGGCCGTTTTTCTAATCCTGGCAATGTGCTTTCGGTTTTCAAGGCACTGTATTAGCCTGTTTCAGTGATTGCCTTGGGTGCTGGCTGCTTATTTGATTTTGATTTATTGTTCATTTATAAGTTAGTGTTTGGTTCCAGTCTCTGTATTTTAGTGCTAGGATTTCGAAATAAGAAACAAAGAAGACTAAAGAGTGGTCAGATAATATCTATGACAGTGAGCAAAGATAAAGAAACTGATGTTTTTTAACTTCTATCCTCTCCACAGGCACTGTGCAGATAGAGTAAAACCTGAAATACTCCAATTCCCCAGCCAACTATTTTGATATTAGACTCCAGATGCTGTCTCAAGTCTCTGGCATTAAAGATCTGGTTAAGCCTGCTGCATTTATGAAAACCATCCCCCCTTGCCTCTCCCTGCCAAATAAATCCAGCCACGGTTGTTTGTGTCCTGTGTATGATGGTGATGACCTTAGCAATGCCTGCTTTATTAGTGACAGAAATGGTGTCTCTGTTTGCTAGCTCTAGGGCTCAGCACGTTTCTTGCCAAAGAAGCTCACATTCAGTGGAGGGATGACAGGGGAAAGGACTAATAAAGGGTTATGGACCTCATCTTGAGTATAACTCTGGTTCATATTGCAAGCAAAAGCTGCTCTGCGCTGTCCACTGTGATCAATAGGAATGGCCAGGAAAACGTACCTGATTACAGTGCCCCGAGTACAGTTGCCAAGTTTCTATCCCCAGGAGGCAGGGGAAAAAAGAGACCATATGAGTTTCTCAGTTGTGGAAAACATTGAGAAAGTAGATGTGAAAATGTGCTCTAGGCAGTTTGTTCAACAATACATCAGGGAAATCCAAGTTTGTGAACTGATTACCCGATTGCTGAACATGTTATTTAATTGTAGACCTACTTTTATTCCATCCTTATTTTGTAAACCCAGTCTTTCCAGATGTTTGAGACCAGTTTTATAGGCACTAGACACATTAGTTTTTTCGTTTCCAGCATATGTACATTTTATCTAACTCACTAACTCACAAATATTAAATTTAGGACGTGAACAAACATATTGTGGTATTTTTCATAATTGTGGGTAATTTGTGGCCTTCACGATATTTTAAACCTCCTTGCTTATAAAAACTTGTAAATTTTAAAGTTAAGGACTAGTTTATGCACTTGGTCCTTGTGTAGCATTCTGGGCTAGTCAAGCTGGATATTTCTTAGTGATCATCTCATCCAGGGAATGTTTAATTAAAAATAAATTTATAATTAAGAAACTTCCTAGGAAAAAAACTACAAGCCCAGCTGGCTTCACTTGTGAATTCTGTCATATTTTAAGGAAGAAATAATACTCATAATAATAATAATAATAATAATAATAATACTTACTCAAACTCTTTCAGAAATTAGATGCAGAAGGAATGTTTCCCAACTAATTTTCTGAAGCCAGAATTACTTCAATACCAAAATCAAAATTATTACAAAAAGAAAAGTAGGCCAATATCCCTTGTGATAATAGATTGAAATTATTTTTTAAACAAAATATTAGCAAATCAAATATATAATAAAGGTAATAGATTATAACTAGTTTATTTCAGCAGTACA